TCACAGAGCTCACTGAAGCATGGAAGACAGACGTGGCTACACAAGTAGATGAAGAAATAAGAGCATCTCGGAAGGGGGCACACTCTATGAGGGCAATAATGTGGACACTGATAGCACCTTAGCTAGGGTGGTCAGGGAAGGCCTCTTTGGGGAGGTGACCTTTGAAGGGGACACTTAAAACAGCTGTTTAGAGCTCAGTGAGCTTAGCACAGTATCCTGTACGCATTAGGTCCTTAATAAAGAGTAACTGCTATTATTATTTTGGCCATTTTCAGGTCTTACATTAGCAGATCTACCAGTGGGTTTTTTCCCCCTGATAGTAAAAGAAATGACAGAACTTGATATATAGGAGCTGTGATGATTCTTGTAATGCTCAATTACTTGCAGGAAAGTTAAGGCTGATCCTCGGAGGGGCAGGAACAGTCCCTTAGATAGACCAGTGGCTTCCCTGCTGACCTGGGCCGGAAGTTCTGGTTATAAGCACTTGGGAGGGACAGCAGCATACACAACATGGCAGGCTGGCTGCTGCCCTGCGGATGTTATTTCGGTCAGCCATCCTTCCTCCTGGCTCCTCCTGGCTCTGGCTGATACTTGCTTATCTGGCCTTGCTGTGGAGGCTCAGAGGGTGTGTTGGGCTAGGAACGCTTTTGGCCAAGCTGTTCAGAGGGCATTGATCCGTTGGCAGACCGTCCGGGTGCAAAAAGTTAGTCAATAACTTATACTGCTTTCCCCCCACCCTCTCTCTTTGGGTCCAAAATTTTGACTGGCAGGGGTTGGTTAAATCCGACTGGGGGGGCGGTGGCGTGGTACCTCAGTGAGTATTTCTGGGATCTCTGGATCATAGCTCCTGGACAAAGGATGAAACAAGTTAGGGACAGAGATCCGTAGCTCCTTAGCTGTATTGGCTTCCAGGGACATCTAGAGGGGCATCTGTTACTTTCATGAAATTCTCAGAGGGAAATACGCAGTTCTTACTGGCTGGTTCTAGGATGGACAAGGAGGTTGCCAAGGGTTCCTTCCGGCAGGTCAGACCCTGAGGTGAAGGTGCCAAATCCTTCTCAAGTCACCCACCCAGAGCTGACTTCAGATCAATGCCTAAGGCTCTAGCTGTCACCCATGGCCTCTCTTCTGGGATAGAGGCATGACTTAGAGCATCTGCTCTGGTGAGGACAGAGGCTGCCACGGTCTTCCCTAGCCTGGGCCACTTTCTTGATGGCCTGAGGTGTCAAGGAGTTGAGAGCTATACAACCAGGGCTGCAAAAACTGGATTCAAATCCTAGTCTGTGCCCAGCTCACTAACCCTGCCCTTCATCTTCCTGCTGGCCTCTCCCCAGGCTCCTGGGATCATGGGCCTTGGGCCCTGAGGACAAGGTGCTCCCTGTGGCCATGACGACGGGTGACTGCTGCCACCTCCCTGGCTCCCTGTGCGACTGCTCCAGCAGCCCCGCCTTCTCCAAAGTTGTGGAGGCCACAGGCCTCGGGCCACCCCAATATGTGGCGCAGGTGACTTCAAGGGACGGCCGGTTCCTCTCAACCGTCATCCGAGCCTTGGACACGCCAAGGTGAGTGGAGGCCCAGTAGGTGTCTTTACCTTCACTCACTTCACTCTCTGGGCCCAGAGATTTCCTCTCAGTCTAGGGTCAGAAATCCAATCACCTGGAGGGGCCCAATCAATAATCACCGTGTGAAAACAGGCCCAGGTTTGAGTCTTCAGGAAAAGCCAGAAAAGCCAGATTATTATGTGAAATCTGAAGATGAAATGTTGGCCAATAGCTCATATTTTGGGGAGGCAGTGTAAAGAAGTGTTTAGGAGTGCAGTGTGACTCACAACGTCTGGGTTCAAATCCTGAAGGGAAGCCACTCTCTTTGTGGGACCTGGGACACGCTGCTTCACCCTCATATCTCTAAACTGGGGACACCTTCCTCATTGTGTTGTTCTGAGAATACATTGCCATGGTCCACAAGAGTGTCCACAATGGAGTTTGCAATCTTGTCTGCATTTGATAAATGTGTTTAAACCTTGGTACTGGCTTTCCAGACGCATCTGTGAGCTGGATCTGCCTGGTTCGCCAATTTGCCATCAGTTCCAAGGAAAAGAGTTTTAAGGAAACCCTGCACAAATTTAAATCCATCTTAACTCATTAAAATTTAAAATAGCCACCAGTTTTTCAAGTTTAATATATTGTCATTATGTTTATTTGATATGATTTAATTCATAAACTTTTTTCCCCAATTTTTTATTGTTAAAATACATATACCATTTACTATCATAACCATTTGAAGTATAGAATTCAGTGGTATTAAATACATTCACAGTGTTGTGCAGCCATCACTATCATCTATGCCTGTAACTCTTTTAATCTTGTAAATCTGAAACTCTGTCCTCATTAAAAAGTAACTTCCTATTCTTTCCTACCCCAGCCCCTGGCACCACCATNCTCACAGTAGCTTATGGCAGCCCACTGCAGCTTCACTGCAGTCTATGCCATCGCCGGCGACTCACAGCAGCCCAGCTCCAGGTCGAGCTGTTGTTTGCCATCTTAGCTGTAGAGGGCGCAGCGTCACTGGCCCTCATGTGGGATCTGAACCGGGGCCCTGCTGCTCAGAGCTGGCGTCCCAAGCCAACTCTTAACCAACGCCCCACTCGGCCGGCCCCCCAGTACCTATTAACCGTGGCTCCTATTTCCCCTCCCCCAGCCCCTGGCAACCACTAATCTGCTTTTTCTCTTGTAGACCTATCACATCATTTCACATATCTCTTTGTCCCCAGGATTTCCTGAAAATTAATAGATTTAGAGGTTGATCAGATTTAGGGTTGAATACCTCATAGGTGATGTTGTATACACACACTAGTGTGTTTCTCATTCCTGGTGTTAGCAGCTGCTACAAAACATCACCTAGATTTGTAATCCATTAGGGGTTACAAAGTGGGGATACTTAAATACTATACCTCCTTCATCTATTTCTGGAATACATCTATGAAGAGAAATTTTCCCTCACTTATGTGCTTACCCTGAGGCACAGATTGTATAGGTCACCATATATACTGAATTCTTTCCTTTGTCCATTTTCAAAGGCCATAATTTTCATTTTGAGTTGGTTCCCAAGTAGCCTTCAAAAGTAACAATTATTAGTTTTAGTTAAAATTCATGGGTTGAGCCTGTTTGTTGGGGCCAAGCTTTCAACCAGTGTGAGTGGAATAGGGTAGGAGGCAGTATGTCTGGGGCTGAGTCTTGGCCAGTGTATCTAAGAGTTACACACACGGTGGGGTGGGAGTGGAAAAATGAGTAAATTCACTGAGGATCATGGGAGCCAGGTTTCTCAGAGTCAGAGAAGTTAGAAATATGTAAAGGGGCTGGGCTAAATCTTGATGTTGGTTTAGAATTAGAGGTATTGGTGTGTACTTATGGTTTTAATGATAGAGAGATAAGTAAATGTTCATATGTAGGTACATACATACATATGGATTACGATGAGAGAACCAAGAATTAATGATATCAAGTTGTATTGTCTTTTGATACCCCTGGTTGTTTGCAAAGTGTGAAGGAATTCACAAGGCACAGAAAAGTGAAAAGATGACAAGTTTTTATTAGAGTCAAGAGGTGGGAAGCTAATGGCAGTATCTTAGGGAGGTGGCTGTCCCGTACACTAGGCTAACTTTTTCTTATATAGAAATGGGTAGGTAAATTTTCTTACAGCAGGAGATATGACGTCCTTCTGAGGTCATTTGATTGACATATGTTGGTTATATAACCAGTCTCTGCTTCTGCTCTTACCTATAATACATACTGAAAAGCCCATGGGGGTGGGGGGGACAAAACTTAATGTTCATTTTCTTTTCATTGTATTATAATGAGGCTAAAGTTCAAATAATGGACAGGTTTTAGCAGTTTGCGCATGTGTGAGGAACCAGTTAGAACCAGTTGGGTCTTATCTCCTCTTTTTAGAAGTGTTTGGACACCTTCAATTTATTTGTAGGGGATGACCCTAGGCGGTTCCTGGAGAGGGGATGCAGGCCTAGGCTGTCCCGCTTTGGGCTCACTTTTATTAACTCCTTTTTTTGCCTCATCAAAGGTAGCAATGAGCACACCTAGCACTCCAATCTTAGTTTCTAAATATCATTCCCCACTAAAAGAAACCAGTGCTCCTTGGAGAAATGGTTGATTCCAGAGGTGAGGCAGGGAAAAAGTTAAGAAAACACCACCTGGAACATCTTGCTGAACCAGTAAGTAAGGAAGTGCTCAAAGTTGGAATTAGAAAAATCGTTTAGCAACCATCATATGATGTAAAAGACAGGCATGGATAACACCTCCGGGCTACTACTACTTTCTTCCTGCCTTGATTGAGGATGTGATGTCTGGAGGCTCAGCAGCTATCGTGCTACCATGAGAAAAAGGCCAAGAGAACCTGAATCTTTGACCTCATCATCATTGGACTAACTAAGCCAATGCCAGCAACTATCCTTCTCCAGAATTCTTGGAAAATAAAACCCTCTTTGTTGAAGCTAATGGCAGCAACAACAAAGATTGATTTAGGCAAGTATCAGCAATGGATATTAAATCTGGTGGGTAAAGGTTTGTTGAGAAACAGGATATTTAATTAGTTTCAAAGTATTTTCCCATAAAGCACTTATTAACAAGTGCAACATTCTAAATCACTCTGGAGAAATCTGGCGGACTTAATTTTAACCAGGTTAGCATAACTGGTGACGGAAGAAATCAACATTCTCTACCTCCTGATATATGCACTGAGTATACCATCGCTTCTGTGGTTCCTGTCCCAAATGCAGAAATCACAAGGACATGATAAACCAACACCAGTTGAGAGACTTTCTACAAAATAACTAGCCCATAATCTTCAAAAGTATCAATGTCATGAACAGTAAGGAAAGACGGAGGAACAGTTCATTAGACTGAGGAGACTGAATTAGACAGCAGAATATAACGTGATACTGAGATGAATTCTGGAGCTTTAAAGGATTTTGTTGAAACCATGAATGGGATTTGGGAATTACATGGTAATAGTAATTTCCTGATTTTGAAGGTTGTACTGCAATTATGTGGAAGAGTGTTTATACTTAAGAAATAAGTCCTGGAAGCTTAGTCCAGCACTCTGCATCCACTTCCATCTGCTCTTGCGGTGGCTCATCAGACATCAGCCTCAATAATGGTGAAACAGATCGAGAACAAGTATGCTTTTGAGGAAGCCTCGAACAGTGCAGGAGACAACCTCGTAGTAGTTGACTTCTCAGCCATGTGGCGTGGGCCTTGCAAAATGATCAAGCCATTCTTTCATTCCCTGTCTGAAAAGTATTCCAATGTGGTGTTCCTTGAGGTATATGTAGGTGACTGTTAGGATGTTGCTTCAGAGTACGAAGTCAAATGCATGCCAACCTTCCAGTTTTTAAAAAATGGACAAAAGATGGGTGAATTTTCTGGAGCTAATAAGGAAAAACTTGAATCCACCATCAATGACTTCATCTAATTATGTTTTCTGAAAACATAACCAGCCATCAGCTCTTTAAGCCTTGTAATTTTTTTTATTTACAAAAAAGAAAGATTAAGTAGAAAGATTATACTCAACTGCCATCTAATTATAAATGAGAATAAAATATTAATTCTACTGTTTTTAAAACTGGTGTCTTTGAATAACTTTCAAAATAAATGAAAAGTGGCCATTAAAAAAAAAAGAAATGGGCCTTTTGAGCTTCCTTTGCTCTGCCTGCTCCAAACTATTTGGAGTGTACTTTCTCTTTTAATAATGGCCCTTGAGCCATTCTCTGCTGCTTGGGCCCGCTTCTGCTTCTTTGAAATGTATTTTTTATTCTAATAAACTGTCCTTTTCTACAACTTAAAAAAAGAAAAAAAAGAAATATACCCCGAAGTATTATGAGTTAATGAGACACCGTGTGTACCTGATACTCAAAGGATTCATAAATCTTTTTTTAAATTGGGGAATCGGGGAAGGGGACTGGCCAAGTTGTTGTTCTTCAATCTTTATTTTTTATTTATTTTTTTGTTTTTTGTTTTTTAAGCTGAGCCATCCTGCCACCTGTTGGCAGCTCAGTGGCTGCTCAGCTCGGTTTGGGAATCGAACTGCTGTTGCTCAGAGCTCAAACTCTTGAGCGAGCTCTTAACCAATTGAGCCACTCGGCCGGCCCTGTTCTTCAATCTTTGTTGTGGAGGACGCCAGTTGCCATCTGGCTTCCCATCGGCAGCTTGTGGCCTCTAAGCTCAAGGTGCTGTGTTCAATCTTAGTCGGGGGTGGGCGTAGCCACCATCCCTTGCGGGAGTCGAACCAGCAGACTTGTTGTTAAGAGCACACGCTCTATCTACTGAGCCATCCAGGCGGCAGCTCAGCTCAAGATGCCAAGTTCAGTCTTAGTTGTGGGTGGGCGTAGCCCACCATTGAACAGGCAGTCTTGTTGTTAGGAGCATGTGCTCTTACCAGCTGAGCCATCCTGCTACCTGTTGGCAGCTCAGTGGCAGCTTAGCTTGGGTGCAGCATCACTTGCTCATGTGGGAATCAAACCGGTGGCCCTGTTGCTCAGAACTCACGTTCTTAAGCTAACTCTTAACCAATCGAGCCACTTGGCCAGCCCCACAAATCTTAACAATTGAGGAATCTGAGCAAAAGATTTATGGGAGCTCTGTGCATTATTTCTGCAAATTTTATGTAAATTTGAGATTATTTTAAGATAAATTTAAAAACCCAAGTACACAAAGTTAAACATTTGATGTGTTTTGACCTGCAATCATTATCTTTATTGGAGGCCAAATTGCCCATTTTGTGGCCAGTGGACACTTCTTCCATTTGTCCCCCCCACACACACACACCCTGACACTACCTTACTAGGTGATGTCTTTGACAACTCTCGTGCTTTCTGGTATATCAAGATGTGCCAGGTTCATCTTGTATGATTTCTGCACCAGACTCAGAGTCAGACATTCCCCCAAGGCTCCCCTGTTCTTTGGACTGGAAATGGTATTTAAAGATCACAGGCTCAAGGAGCTCTCATTGCAGCAAGGTTGGTCTCTATTTCTGACATTTTCAATGGACAGAACTAGGAAATGTTTCCTTTTCAGAAAGATAAACTATATCGTGATACTCCCAATNTTTGTACTTCTTAATCCCCTTCCCCTTTTCTATTCAGGGCGTTGGTTTTTATGTCTGCATCTCTATCAGATCTCTTGAAGGCAGGACCAGGTCTGTGCCGGTCAAGCCGAGCTGGGAGTGAGGGGTACAATTGGCAGGCTCAGGGACCCCCTAGGCAGAGCTGCCTGGGTAAGAGGAGTGGGAGGAGGCTGACCAAAGCTGAAGTCTCATATGGGGCCCCTGAGGGGACACTGAGTGAGTTGGCCCCACCTTGCCTCACCCTCCCTCTTGATACATGGGGAAACTGAGAGCCAGAGAGAGGCAGACACCTGCCAATATCCCTGAGCAGAATTGAGTCTTAAAACCAGGGACCCTGCTAGGGTTGAGGAGGAGAAGGGGTAGAAGCTCATGGGTCCCACTAGCCTCTCCTGCAGCCCTCAGAGACCCAGGCAAATGACAGGGAGCAGAGCAGTCCTTCTGCATTCAGGCTGGTGCCCAGGACAGCCACACCCTTGGAGACAACCAGGCCCTCCTGATCTGCCACGTGGCTTGTTTTGCCGGTGGCTTCACCTCTGCTTTTTTTTTTTTTAAGATTTTATTGGGGAATTGGGAGAGGGAAACAGACAAGATACTGTCCTCCTGTTCTTCAGTCTAGCTCCACTGCAGCCCACGCCGTCGCCGGCGACTCATGGCAGCCCAGCTCCAGGTCGCCCACCATCCCAGCTGTAGAGGGCACAGTGTCACCAGCCCTAATGTGGGATCCGAACTGGGGCCCCCACTGCCCAGAACCGGCGTCCCAAGCCAACTCCCAACCAATGTGCCACTCGGCCGGCCCGCCTCTCTGCTTTTTCATGCAACTCAATCTCAACCTATCCAGGCTGAGGGCAGAGCAGATCAGCCCTTCCCAGAGAGAAAGCCGCTGTTTTTCCAAAGAGCCGTCTTCATCCAGGAATGTGGCCTTCACTCCTGGTCAGTCTCCCCTGGAGTAAATGAGGATCTTCCCGCAACTTCCAGCAGATGCAGAGGCCAAGAAAGCAGGTCACCATCCCCATGCCCAGCCCTTCCCCCTGTAACAACTCCTCCAAGCCAGCCTGTGCCCTCTGAGAGCAGCAGGGGTGGGGCTCCAAGATATAATACCCAGTGCTTTCATAATAAAGAAACCTTCAGTTTTGCTTTGAAGGAGACTGATTCCTGGTGTCTCATGGGAGAGTACTAGGTGAGGCCAAAACCTGCAGAGGCCAAAGAGGAAGGCCCAGGAGGCATCTCCAGGGCCCTGGACAATCCATAAAAGCGCAGGCTTGTGGCCAGCATCTGGGGCCTGTCTGGGCCCTTGAGCCTTTGGTGCTGTGCCCACCAGGCTGTGAATGGGCCCAAGCCCTTCTGGAAGCTTCCTAGAGCATTTCTTCATCCCTAGCCCTTCTGCCTAGCCTTCCCTTGCTGCCTCTGTCTCACGGCTTCTGTTTCCTTCCTTGCTCACACTCTCCCTTCTCCTCTTACTCTTGGAGCATTCTCTGGGCACCCCCTGGAGTCTGTGGATGTCTCCCCACCCCTACCCCATTTCCTTCCCATCTGTCTTATGTGCATTATTTTCCTGCCAGAATTTCCTGAGTGAAGCCCCACCATCTGTGGCATGCAGCATACGTAGCATGGTGGCCAAGGGTACATATGCCCTGGAGCGAGACTTCCTGGGTTCAAATCTCAGCTTTGCC